AGTCAGGTGAAATATCCTGTAACATTTTCTAGGCCCAAGTGTGGTTCTTGCCCTCAGTCAATGCTCACTAAACAGAGCAGATGCAGTTTTGCCTGGCAGAGCAGCCCACAAAAGCACAGTGCCCAGGATGACAGCATTCTTAGGTGCTCCGTGAAAATTTGTTGAATGCAATACTCTTCTGAAAAAAGTTCCAAAAAGACAACCAGAAAAAAGAAAGAAAAAAAATATTTTTGAAAAATACAAGAATATATCCAAGAACTAAAAAATATGAATGATTATATTAAAAGCCTCAGGGCCTTATACAATGAATAAGAAATGAAAAGGCCCATCTCAAGCCTTATTGTCGTGAAATTTCAAGTAACAAGAAATAATAAAACTATCTGAAAGCTCCTAGAAAGAAAAAGTAGGCCATGTTCAAAGGACCAGAAATCTAAATGATATCCAGATTTCTCAACAGCAGCTCTGAATACTAGAGGACAGTGGAGCAGTAACTTCAGATTTTTGAATGATTTTTTTTTTTTTTTTTTTGAGAAGGAGTCTCGCTCTGTTGCCCAGGCTGGAGTGCAGTGGCACGATCTCAGCTCACTGCAACCTCTGCCTCCTGGGTTCAAGCAATTCTTCTGCCTCAGCCTCCCGAGTAGCTGGGACTACAGGCATGGGCCACCACACCCAGCTAATTTTTTAAAAATTATTTTTAGTAGAGACGGTGTTTGACCATATTGGCCAGGCTGGTCTTGAACTCCCGACCTTGTGATTCGCCTGCCTCGCCTCCCAAAGTACTGGGATTACAGGCAGGCATGAGCCACCGTGTCCGGCCTTTTTTTTTTTTTTTTTTTTGAGACAGAGTTTTGCCTTGTCCCCCAGGCTTGAGTGCAATGGAGCGATCTCGGCTCACTGCAACCTCCGCCTCCCAGGTTCAAGCGATTCTCTCGCCTCAGCCTCCCCAGTAGCTGGGCCTACAAGCATGTGCCACTACACCCGGCTAATTTTTTTGTGTATTTTTAGTAGAGATGGGGTTTCACCATGTTGGCCAGGCTGGTCTCGAACTCCTGGCCTCAGGTCATCCACCCACCTTGCCCTCCCAAAGTGCTGGGATTACAGGCATGAGCCACCACACCTGGCCATTTTGAATGAAAACTACTTTCAACCTGCACTTCTAATCTCAGGTAAACTCTGTGTCAAGTAAAAGAACAAAAACAAAAACCAAGTATATGATTAAGACATTTCCAGACATTCAAGTGCTTCAAAAATGTATCTCCCATGCAACTTTTCTTAGAGAACTAGTGGGGTGTGTGCGCTACCAAAATGATGGAATACACCCAGAATGAGAAAGACACGAACCCAATCGAGAGGAGAGGAAAGTAAGCCCAAAGACGAAGGAGCAGCAGGATCAGAGAGCAGCCTGCCCACACTTGTTCAGAGATAAAAGGCTCCAGGAGTTGCTGGGGGCTGGGGATCCCAGAGGGAATTAACTGCAAAAGGCACAGTAGGACTTTTCAGGGGAACTTCCATATATTGATTTTGGTGAGGTTTCACTGTATACAATGACCACATGTACAGTGTTCAAAACTCTGTAAAATGAGTTGAGTTTTTTTTGTTGTTTTTTTGTTTTGAGATAGAGTTTCGCTCCTGTTGCCCAGGCTGGAGTGCAATGGCGCAATCTCAGCTCACCGCAAGATTGAACCTCCACCTCCGGGGTTCAAGCGATTCTCCTGCCTCAGCCTCCTGATTAGCTGGGATTACAGGCATGTACCACCACGCCCGGCTAATTTTGTATTTTTAGTAGAGACAGGGTTTCTCCATGTTGGTCAGGCTGGCCTTGAGCTGCCAACCTCAGGTGATCCACCTACCTCAGCCTCCCAAAGTGCTGTAAGCCTCCCATGGTGGATTACAGGCGTGAGCCACCATGCTGGCCGAGTTGAGTTTTATTGTATGTAAACTGTTTTTCAATACAACTGATCTTTGTAATTTGCTGGAAGAATGCATGATCTAGGCAGGGAGTGGTGCATATGTCCTAAATCCTATAGTCAGAAAACAATAGACATATAAAACTAAAAGACGTGTAAGCACATTCTCTAATAATACAGAAGTAAGTACTAGAAATAACTCAAGGAGTTAAAAAGTGGAAACCTCTTGGAGGGTTGGGAATAGGACTTGGGAGCAGAGACAGCTGTTGTTCATAGTAAGCTTTGTGATACTAGCTGACCTTTGAGCTACGTATATGTTCTCACTTTGATAAATATCAATAGAATAGTTTTTTTGGATTTTGTTTATTTATTTTTGAGACAGAATCTGGCTCTGTCGCGCAGACTGGAATGCAGTGGCACAATCACAGCTCACTGCAGCCTCGACCTCCTGGGCTAAAGCAATCCTCTTGCTTCAGCCTCCCGAGTAGCTGGGACTATAAGTGCACACCACCATGCCCAGCTAATTTTAAAAATATTTTTTAGAGTCTTGCTATGTTACCCAGGCTGGTCTCAAACTCCTAGGCTCAAACGATCCTCACACCTCGGCCTCCCAAGGTGCTGGAATTACAGGCATGAGCCATCATGCCTGGCCAAGATTAGTTTTTGAAAATGAGAAAAGGTTTGGAATAACAGGATGCCTAGTCTGGTGGAGGCAAAATGTTTGCAATACCCAGAAAGCCTTGGACCAACAGGAGCTAAAGTTTCCTTCAGACAGTTACTGTTTCCTTAGCTCTTTCATTTCATTTTGGGTGAGAATAAAGAAATGTATTACAGCAATGAAAATAACAAATTACAGCTACCCTCTTATGGATACAGTGTTGACCAGAAAAGGCAAGATCATAAAAAAATGTACACTAACTAGATGATGGCTAGACTGGTGTGTTCTTACAACAATTGAGCTCTATGCTATGACCTGTGCACTCTTCTATATGCACATTATACTTCAATTAATTCTTTAAAGTACACCATACGATTCTATTTCTTAGGCTCCCCAAAAAGACCAAACCACACTATAGTTTAGGAATACATACAAAGGTAGTAAAAATGTAAACAGCCAGTCTAGTGATCACCTTTGGGATACAGGGAGAGGGTTGTGATCAACAGTGGGTGGGACTGAAATCCACAATAAGGGGAACATCTGCAGTGCCAGTAGATCCTATTTCTTGGTCCAGATAGTGTTTACAAAAGTATTCGCTTTACAATTCTGCTGAACTGAATATATAAGGTTTTTGTCGATTGATTGATTGATTGAGACTCTGTCATCCAGGCTGGAATACAGTGGCACAATCATGGCTCACTGATTTGATAAGCATCGACCTCCCTGACTCAAGTGATCCTCCCACCTCCCAAGTAGCTGAGACTACAGGTATGCATGATGACACCCAGCTAATTTTTAATTTTTTGTAGAGACGGGGTCCCGCTATGTTGCCCAGGCTGGTCTTGAACTCCTGGGCTCAAGTGATCCACCCACCTTGGCCTCCCAAAGTGCTGGGTTACACGTGTGAGCCACCATGCCTGGCCAATATAGAAGTTTTATATATAGTCTTGCCACTTAAACAAAGGAATTTAGAAGATTTGAACAAATCTAGATGTTTATCAATAGGGACTATTTAATTATAATAGTCATGTAATGCATAATGCACTATTAAAAATGAAGCAGTTGTGATCCTATATGCTTATAAGAACCTAATGCTCAAATTGGGTCCTAAAACAACAAAAACCATGTTAGAAATGAATCTGATATGATACCACTTATGTCGTCTCTCTCTCTCATATATATATATAAAAAAACATATTTTATGTGTATGTATTTTATGTAATGTATTTCATACACATTACATATAATTATATATATGCAGAGAACATCTCTACTATCTGGAATAATAGACAAGAAACTTGTCAGTGTTACAGAGAGGAGACTAGAAATAGGAGACTTCTTTTTCACTTTTGAATTTTGTATCATGTGCATCTGTTACTATTCTAATAAAGGAGAAGGAATCATTTATTTTAAAAATACTTGTTTATTGCATGGTTCTCTCCAGATTTTGTGTCTAGGCTTACTTTTATTTATTATGAAGTACTTCAGCAAAGAAGAGAAACTGGCATTCAAACATGGCCGGCCAATCACTGCCAGGCTAATTGCCCAAGAGCTTCTCTAAGCAAATATTTCTCACCTATTACAAACCCCACATTCATATAGGTGCCAGAAATAATAAATGGGACAAAACAGAAGCCCCTGTGCAAGGGGAAGTCAGTGAGAGGCAAGGAGACCATGCACATCACTAGTATTTCTCTTCGTATGGCAATTTAACATTGCTGATCTTTGTCTTTATGAATAATGGGGTTAGGTCAGGTTCCTTGTCATCACAAGTCTTAGAAATCATCTAGAAAACATGTATTTTACACACTAATCTCACAACTAGATAACATATTCAGTACTTCAGTGGTAGAATCTTCAGCTTTTCACACCTTATGCAGTTCTTCTACCATCTACTTCTGTTTCTTCATTCTCAGTTCCCAGGAAGGCATAGATCAGGTCCTGCATAAGTGGGCATGTCAAATGTCTGCTCCATTTCATTTGCAACAATGACAATGAAAATCCAGCATGCAATGTGGCTGAGGTGCTGGGAGCCCCAAACAATGTGGGGGAAAAAGCATAGGGCATTTCACATCCCAGACGGGACAGGTTTCCATTCCTTACTGAGGGTGGAAGTACTAGAGTGGAGGAGAAGGAGCCAAAAAAATTACTCATATGAAAAAAAAAGCCTTGTCAGCCAGGCGCAGTGGTTCACGCCTGTAATCCCAGCACTTTGGGATGCTGAGGTGGGCGGATCACTTGAGATCAGGAGTTCAAGAGCAGCCTGGCCAACATGGTGAAACCCTGTCTCTACTAAAAATAGAAAAATTAGCCGGGCGCAGTGGCAGGCGCCTGTAACCCCAGTTACTCGGGAGGCTGAGGCAGGAGAATCACTCGAACCCGGGAGGCAGAGGTTGCAGTGAGCCGAGATTGCACCACTGCATTCCAGCCTGGGCAAAAGAGTGAGACTCTGTCTCAAAAGAAAAAAAAAGAAAGAAAAAGAAAAGGAAAAAAAGCCTTGTCTACTGCTTATCGTGATCCTCATTTATCTATGGTTATGTTTTAAAAATTATTTCCTACAGAAATTCTTTCAGCCCTTCCCCATTTTTGAGGGGCGGAGGTGCACATAGTGAAAGATTCGGGTCATCTCAGAGGACACAGGTTCAGAAGCATCTCACTGTTGCAGTGATCCAAACCCAAGTATGTCATTTCTTCCTCAAAATCCCATTTGCTGCTCTTGCTTGGCAGTGAATATTGCTGATGAGGATGAGAGGCATAGGTGAAGAGAAAGGGGTCTTCCTGAGGTGAATGGTATGCAGGGGACTGGACGTAGCTGTTAAAATCCACATGTACTTTCTCTTCATAAAGATTCCCCCCTGGATTTGGCCATAATGGGGGACAGCCAGTTTTGGCTGCAGGTGGCTCCAGTGGAATCTGCTGGTAAAAGGGTTCTGAAGAGTTTTGGGAAGGAGAGAAGCTGCAAGGCCAGCTGGTCAGAGGAAAAGGATAATTGGAATAACAGTTGTCATTAAGATGATTTCTCCCCAAAGCAGCATTTTTGCTCCACGTCTGCAGATCGCCGTGATCAGAGTAGACTCCGGAGGCAGAAGGAGGAAGCAGGTCTCCACTACTGTAGGTTCTGCTACTGGACAATTTACGCTTTTCATAGAGCTTCGTGGGGTCCACAGTGGAAGTCTGGTCAGTCAGATCTGTGATTCCTCCCAGACCATAACTCTTGGAGAAGGAAAAGCAATCATTTAGTGAGTTCTGCTGAGGAGTGTTAGCTATTAGATGTCCACTGTAACTACCAGGCAGTTGGACGCCTTCCTGGAAAGACCAAGTTAAAGGTAAACTCCCCTGACTTTGTGTTTCACCTGGAAGAGACTGGAAAGGAAAGTGAAATGCTCGTGTTAATAAGTTAAGCAAATCCAAACCACTACCACAGGCATCCATGAGTTACTCTGCACAAATAAGAGCTCCGTCAGATTTTCCTCATTCCTTACACATTAATACTTGACGCAGAAATACATGCAGCAGCTTGACCACAACCACGACACATTGAAAAAGGCAAAGGCTGCCTGTTTCCGTGTTAAAGCTTACTAACCAGTAAGAGCCACATTTCCCTACATTCTGTGGAGACATGAGTGTACTTAGGATGTCTCACACTCAAACACAAATCTGATATCCTAATTGCCTTTTTTTTTTTTTTTTTTTTTTTGAGATGGAGTCTCGCTCTGTTGCCCAGCCAGGCTGGAGTGCAGTGGTGCGATCTCAGCTCACTGCAACCTCCACCTCCCGGGTTCAAGCGATTCTCATGTCTCAGCCTCCCAAGAGCAGGGATTACAGGCGCCTGCTACCACGCCCAGCTAATTTTTGTATTTTCGGTAGAGATGGGGTTTCACCATGTTGGCCAGGCTGGTCTCGAACTCCTGACCTCAAGTGAGCCGCCCGCCTTGGCCTCCCAAAGTGCTGGGATTACAGGCATAAGCCACAGCGCCTGGCCTCTAATTGCCTTTTTGAGAGACTTATAAGGAACTATTCACAAAATATCAAAGTATAACTTCAAAGATTTATATTATACTCAGCACAACTCTCAGGGGTCTCTCGCTCTCATCATTTCCTCCCTTGACTTCTCTGTTTCTTAGTGCTCGTTGGAGTGTGAGAGACCATGGTTGCTGTTGTTTTTTTCTTTTTCCTTTCCTCAAGAGATTTTTCTGTGAATTCATGGGCATTTTGTTGAACCATAAATCAGACCTCTAGAACATGAGTGGTACATTCATTTATTTTTCTAAATGGAAGAAGTATATTATTCTTTAGTTAATTATTTAAAAAAAGGATCTGGTTGAGAATTAAGTTATGCTCTTGTTTAGGTAAAAGTACTTGCTGTTAAGGGGATACTTTTAGGGGGTAGAGAAAAAGGGCTGTGACCAGGTAGATTGGATGAGAGACTGAAATGCCACTTGACTTGTCCCATGGCTGGGAGAAAGGATGAGGAAATAGCCATTTGGGTTTGGGGGGCTCGCATTTCCCTACAACGGACCCACATTACAATTTTTGTTTAAATAAAGTACATTTAGAGCCTCTAGGGATGGACCAGCTCCATCTCTGTTCTCCCAAAAAGACATGTGCAACTTTGAACAGTAGAAAAAGTATGGGAACTACTATAAATATTAAACAGACAAATGCAAGAAAACCTATGCACTGCTGCCCATAAAGCAGTGGACTTCACATCACAGTTTGTCTGTGGGAAAGAGCCTCCACTCCACTATTGCCACCCTAGGACAGCCATCATTTTCGGAAACTGCTTGCTTATTTCATCTTGATAGAATACGCTAAGAAAACAATCTGTTTGGGGATGTATGGAAATTCAGGAGGGCAGGGAGGGGGCGGGCGGTGAAATGCATGAGGTTACTATTTTGTGGAGATCGTTTCAATTGTTTTTGGTTCTTGTCAAATATAAGTTAAGTGCTAATTCAACTTTCTCTTTGTAATTGTAGTAGGGAAGATGATTCTCCAACTACATGGACTTTATGGTTCAGAGCATGCTACAAAGATGGTAGAAAGTAAGAGTAAAGCCTCAGATTTAATTTCTTTGGCACATATTTGTTTGCAGATGAGACTGATAATCCATGATTTCTGGCTTTTCCTGTGTCAGCAAGGGACCCAGGAAATCGCTCCCAGCACAGGCGTGGCAAGGTACTGCATGTGTTGAACATACATAATGAAGGATTACCCTGGTCTCTGTGCCCCCCTTCAGGCTCAAGGAGACGGAGGAAGGTGCTGTATGCACTTTCTTCATGGCTCTTCTTGCCTCCGCTTCCAACTTGGTTTCTGGTTTTGGATGATCATGCTCTCCCTTTGACTGAAATGAGACAAGGAAGTAGAAAAGAAACGATATAACACTAACTAGACTGTGCTTCACTCTGTGTCCTGCCCCCGGAGTGGTGTTGCAGTCTCCTATGGTAACAAGACTGGATGAACCTCTGAAGACGCTCCCAAGCCCACCACGCTCCTGCCTGCCTGCCTCTCACCCACCCAGCAAAGCCATAATCACAGTGCTAAGTAACACTTATCAAATGCTTCCTGTGGTATGTGCTGGACACTAATAAACACCCTGTGCGCCTTATATCTCATTTCGTCTTCAGCACAACCCTTGAGGTACATACTATTATTATCACCCCCAGTTTACAGAACAGGAAACTGAGGCACGGAGTGATTATGCCAGCTGGGTAACCTCCTCTAGAAGTGAGGGAGATAGGATTCCCCTACCTGGAGCTGGCCAAAGCTGAGAGTCAATAGTTAAACATTCAGGAATTTTCTAGGCTGATTGTTAAAAATGACTGCAGGCTTGAAATCAGCCACCGTGGGAATATTTCCATTGCCCAAGCTGGCAAATGCTACAAATCAGGACATTTTCTTTTTGGAGAGCTGGTTTACCAGCATCCCACTAATTCAAACCCAGGCAGTCTGAGTCAGGGTCCATTCTTCACCCCTGTTGGTGCCACTGCCCCATTAGTACTCTTACACATTCTACAGAAAACTGGGACGTGGAAGAGGAAAGTCACCTGCTCGGGTTTACAGAGCAAGTAAAAAGTCAGAGCTGGTGTTCGAACTCAGATTTGCTGAAGGCTACCAGTGGCATGTGGCATGCTTAGAAGCACTGTGCTAACCTCAATGTGACTAGATTAGCTGCCACTTCTCCTGAGGAGTGGAAGCAGCCAGCTCCCCTTCTAGAGCTCCCCAGCACTTCAAACATCTATTAGAAGTGCAGGGGACAGACAAACTTGCTTTCTCAGAGTGTGAGCCCTCGGGGATGGTGCAAGATCTCATTCACCAGTGTATCTCTAGCCTCTGGTGAAACTCCTCAGTAACGAAACTCTCACGTAACTAACTCAAAAATCCAACCTGGAAAAATATAAAGCGTCCGTCGTGCCTCCAGAAGTTGGTGACCGGGAAGCCCCCGTGACCTCGGCAAGGGATGAGCTTCAGAGGCCCATCACAGTTGGGACAGCGTTTCCCTACAAAAGAGCAGAGGAAAATGACTACACCTGGCTGAACCATGTTGGTTGACTCCTGGGCAGCCTTGAAGATTTTAGCCCCGACTGCAGGATGGTAGAGGATAAATCTGGGCACAGTCTCATGAGCTCCCATCCACTAGATATTACCCCTGACCCTCGGAAGCCTGGCCCCCAAAATGGCCCAGATGGGTCTCACACATACATAGGGGAAGTGGTTGCCTACCAAGTAGGGTATTTCACAGGTCAGGGAGGAGCTCTTCTGAGCAGAAAATCCCTCCCTACTTATTTAGTGATATTTGAAATTTTGACCAGGCACAGTGGCTCACACTCGTAACCCCAGCACTTTGGGAGGCCAAGGCAGGCGGATCCACTTGAGGCCAGAAGCTCAAGACTAGCCTGGCCAATATGGTGAAATCACGTCTCTATTAAAAATACAAAAATTAGCCGGCCGTGGTGGTGCACAACTGTAGTCCCAGTTACTCAGGAGGTTGAGGCAAGAGAATCACTTGAATCTGGGAGGTGGAGGTGGCAGTGAGCTGAGATCGCGCCACTGCACTCCAGCCTGGGTGACAGAGCGAGACTCTGTCTCAAAAAATAAAAAAGAGAAGTTCTTTCAACTCACAATTAGAACTAAGGGTCAAGGGGCCAAGCTACATGGGAGAGTGAATGCAGCTACTACATTTTCACAGAGGTGTAAATGACTGATGCCAGGTCCTGATCTAAGAGCAAGTTTGGAAGACAAACTACTGGGAAAAATATAAGGTAACTTGAGGTTTGAAGTGGGCGAGGTACAGGGCACGCTGAATGTATCTATTTCATAATCCAGTGAACGTGTCTAAGAAAATGAACAAATATCTCAGCACGTGATTATGATGTGAACCTAAATGAATGGAATTGAGTCTAACCTTTCACAGCTGCCATTCCACATTAATGCACACATTGAGATCACTTAGGGACCCACAAGAGGTCCAGTGGCAAGTCCAATAAACTACTTTCTTCTAAATTTTACATGGGTCATTGACGAATTAACATTAACCCCTTCAGTGATACATTTTTCATTTTATTTTTGGATGGAGTCTGTCACCCAGGCTGGAGTGCAAGTGGTGCAACCTTGGCTCACTGCAACCTCTGCCTTCTGGGTTCGAGCGATTCTCCTGCCTCGGCCTCCCGAGTAGCTGGGATTACAGGTGCACACCACCACACCCGGCAAATTTGTGTGTGTGTGTGTTTAGTAGAGATGGGGTTCCGCCTTGTTGGCCAGGCTGGTCTCGAACTCCTGACCTCAGGTGATCTGCCTACCTTGGCCTCCCAAAGTGCTAGGATTGCAGGCGTGAGCCACCGCGCCCAGCCATTTTCCCTTTTTTTTTTTGGAGACAGGATCTCACTCTGCTGCTCGGCCTGGAGTGCAGTGGCTCCATTATGGTTCACTGCAGCCTTGACTTTCCAGGCTCAAGCAATCCTTATGCTTCAGCCTCCAGAGTAGCTGTGACCACAGGCATGTGCAACCACACCCGACTAATTTTTAAATTTTTTTTGTATGGGTTGGGGTCTCCTTATGTTGCCCCGGCTGGTCTGGAACACCTGGGCTCAATTTATCCTCTCATCTTGGCCTCCCAAAGTGCTGAGATTACAGGTGTGAGCCACCACGCCTGCCATCTACCCTTTAACAGGAGACTTCAGTCCACTGCCTTAACCAAAGGGGGCATTTTTGATGGTAGGTGCTCTGGGTATGGCAGATACGGGGGGTCCTTGCTGGAGCACAAGGGGTCTGGTTGGTTCCCCTCCATATGCTCCGTATCAGAACAGCCTTGGCTGCCACTACACTCCAGGGTGAGCGTTGTGCCCTTGGGCGGTGCTGGGACATAGTGACCCATCCGGTAGGGGCATCTGAGGGATGCCAGCTTTTCTGCTGCTGCCACCAAGCTCTACTCACGCTGCTGCTTCTGCCGGGCCTTGTCACAGATGGCAGGTCTCAGGTAGATCTTGCGTCCCTCCTCTGCGAGGCAGTCGCGGCCGCACACCACCACACCCAGGCAGGACTTCTTGAGGATGCGGGAGTTGTGGTTGTTGGTGTTGCGCATGGCCCAGCTGCTCAGGTGCCGCTGTGCATTCTTGTCCTCCGAGCTGTAGATGTGTTTGGCATAGGAATCTGGCCACTCCTGGAACCAGTCAGTCTTTTTCACGTTCTGATAGAAACACAAAAGATACGACTATAGTTTAAGCTAGAAAACACAGCTGTCACCCACTGTGGAGGGAGTAGATGGGAAGGATGTTTTGGCACTCAGGAGCTGGGCAAGAGACCTTTGGCAAAAGCCTCCCTACATTTAATTCTGACAGTGGGATCAGGGAGCCCAGCACAACATGGCAACTGAGTGCTATGTCTGTCAGGCATTCAGCCGCTGGATCAAAATAAATGGTAGCCCCTGTGAGTTCCATCTGATTGACACTTCCCTAGCCCTCAGTGACACAAGTAATGACCATTTCTCAGTACGAATTTTTGAAGGTTAAGTAATGCTATGCTCTGACACAATAACAGTGGAAAACAGGGCCCTGTGTGGTGGGGTGTGCCTGCAGGAGGCTGAGGTGGGAGGATGACTTGAGGCCAGGGGTTCAAGACCAGCGTGGGCAATGTAGCAAGACCCCTTCTCTAAAAACTCAAAATAAACTGTGGAAAACATTGTGGTGGGATAGTGAGATAATGTCTCGTACCACGCTGTGGTTACCTTGCTGGGAGTCACACAGGTTTATGCAATATCACCAGAGATAAGCAGTGGGAGGGATGAAAAGCCCTGGTTCAGAGAGATCAAAGAGCCACTTTTCCCCCAGAGATTTTCTTCCTTTATCTTTAACCCTACACTCATGTGCCTCAAACATGATGGAGAGTAAGAAAGAGCTTGTTTTGACTGAAAGCGTCTCTGTTATTGCCCGGGATTGGCGCTATGCCCTGTGTATGAACATTTGACTAAACTCTCCTTTAAAACATCAGAGACAAGGAGAGTTGTCATTCAATGGACAAAGTTTCCATTTGCAAGATGAAAAGGTTCTAGAGCTCCTTTGCACAACAGTGTACATATAATTACCACGACTATACTATGCACTTAAACATGGTTAAGATGGTAAGTTTTAAGTTGTGTTTTTGACCAAAATAAAATAATAATTTAAGAAAGGCCAAGGACACAGGACACTCAGTCCTTATAGCACACATTGTTTTGCTCTCTGTGCCTCTGTTTCTTCATCTGTAATATAGGGATGAGACCTGCCTGCCTGAAGAGTTGTTCTGAAGATTAAATACGATTTTATATATATTAAATACTTAGCACAGCACCTAGCATGCTGTAAGCTCTAAATAATTGTTAGTCACTGATGCTGTGGCTCATATTCCTAGGCCCTACATTGGTGCACAGATGCTGCATTTGACAGACCCTCCCTTGTTCTTAGAATGAGAATCAGTAAGCAGTGTCAGCAGTCAAACTTAGGCTGTGTCCATGCCCTATGGCTTTCAGAGACTTAGCATGGTGTAAGAACATTTTTCATCTAGAAGGTTCTAGAAGGTCAAAATAGAAGATTCTAGAAGGTCCAGAAGAAGAGACTAGGTTGCTTCTTCTTTGCTTTCCCAACCAGAAAGCATAGCCCACAATATAAAAGAAGACAAATTTTAGAAGAAAAAAGTAAAAGTGTCAGGATTGATGGGCATTTATTGAGTTAGAATTCAAATTTAGAACATGCCAAAGAACTTTGTAACTTGAGACTCTGGGCAAGTAACTTTGTCTTTAAAGCCTGTTTTGCTCTTCTCTAAAACTGGAACATTGATTAAACCTGCCTCACAAAAGTGCTGTGAAGAGCAGATGTGTTGTAAACTATAGATTCCATATAACGATACTTGTTGAATGGAATGTCACAGGGCCTGAGGTGGTCTGAGGAAATATAAATGAGAGGTTTTAGGTACATGCAGGGTAGTACTATTTGGTGGTTAAGAGCTGCAGTGAGCAAACTAGGACCCATAGGCCAAATCCTGCCCATTGCCTGTTTTTGTAAATAAAGTTTTATAGAAACTGATCTATGTTCATTCACTTAAGTGTTGCCTATGGATGTTTTTACACCACCGCAGCAGAGACTCTATGGCCCACAAAGACTGCAATATTTACTATCTGACCCTTCACAAAGAGTCTGAGATTCCTGGCTGCAAGCTTGGACTCTGGAGGTACACTGTCTTTCTGGGTATGAGTCTTAAGCAAGTTATTTTCTCCTCAGTGCCTCTGTTTCCAGCTCTGTAAAATGGGGTAACATGAGTCCCCAGAGGGAGGTTTTGAGGACTTACTGAATTAACATACACGATGCACTTAAAACAGTGCCTCGCATGCAGCAGGTTCCTCCTCAATATTAACTGTTATTCTATCAGATCTGGAACTGCCCTCAGCCAGTCAATGCAGTTTTAAGAGTCACTGGCTTTCGGGAGAGAGAAGACCCAGTAGAGGTCACTTCATGCTTTAAACCTTGCCAAGCCGAATGCAAGATAAGAGTCCAAGTCCCGGCTGGGCAAGGTGGCTCATGCTTGTAATCCTAGCACTTTGGGAGGCTGAGATGGGTGGATCACCTGAGATCAGGAGTTCAAGACCAGCCTGCCCAACATGGTGAAACCCCGTCTCTACTAAAAATACAAAAAATTATCCAGGTGTGGTGGTGGGCGCCGGTAATCCCTGCTTCTTGGGAGTCCAAGGCAGGAGAATCACTTGAATCTGGGAGGTGTAGGTTGCAGCGAGCCAAGATCGTGCCATTGCACTCCAGCCTGGGCAACAAGAGTGAAACTCTGTCTCAATAAAAAATAATAATAATAAAAGAGTCCAAGTCCCTATAAAATAAAAGCTTAATTAGTACACCTCTTGTTCCACAAACTTCCTTCTCACGGCATGACAGTGGCTGGCCCTTTGTGTGCTGTGCTGTAACTACTGCGGTTTGGGAGGGGGAAGGGTATAAATACTAGGAGGGTTACATCTGGAGAAGTTCCCTGTGGTCCTTTAGGTAGTTACAGCAGAGATTCCCAGATGGCCAGGCCAGAATGCTGGTTGGACCATTTGCTTTCCCAGACTGTCCCTTCTCCTCCCCAGTTCACTAGTAATTTTGGGCTTGCTGAGACTCAATGCCCGGGTGAGAGAAGCTCCCCAGGCAGCATGCCTCCTGCTCTCTCCACCCACCTTATCTTCCCTTCCTTCCTTCCTTTTTCTGACCCAAAGCTGCAAACAATGCTCTCTTGTTTTCTGTCACAGAAATACCATAGAAAGCATAATAGAGTATCTTACCTTTTGAAATAATAATGTAGGTTAAAACATTAAAATGTGTACTTTTGACCAGGAATAGTGGCTCACACCTGTAATCCCAGCACTTTGGGAGGCCAAAACTGGATAATCTCTTGAGCCCAGGAGTTCAAGACCAGTCTGGGCAACACAGTGAGACCGTCTCCCCTAAAAATAGATTTTTTTTCTGAGTGTACTTTCCTCTAATATTGAACTGTAAAAAACTACTGGTGCACTTGAATTATTCCAACATAAAGCACAGTTGTCAGGATAGCAGAGATGAGGGCAAGGTAGACTTAGAGGAAAGCTGAGATTTTCATGCTTTAAAGGTAAGTGGCCTCTTTAGGTTGGTCAGAGCCATAGACCTCATGAACCAGAAGGAGTGGAATGTATTTGTGAGAACATCTCAGATGTTCTGATTAAAGCAAAGACTCCTTGCTTGTAGAGGAAGAATTGGTCTCTACCATCCTTTAAGCTTTTTTCTGATAGTCCCTCCACTGGTATGTTAGTTTTCCTGTTCTATTAATAATGCAGTAATAGCCAGGTGCAGTGACTCGCCCCTGTAATCCCAGCACTTTGGGAGGCCAAGGTGGGTGGATCACTTGAAGCCAGAAGTTTGAGACCAGACTGACCAACGTGGTGAAACCCCATCTCTATGAAAAATACAAAAATTAGCCAGGCATGGTGGCGCATGCCTGTAATCCCAGCTACTCAGGAGGTTGAGGCAAAAGAATTACTTGAACCTGGGAGGCAGAGATTGCAGTGAGCCAAGATCATGCCACTGCACTCCAGCCTGGGTGACAAGAGTTCTTTGTCTAAAAAAAAAAAAAAAAAAACCAGTAATAATTTAGACAATGTATGGACTGAGAACATTACTAGGAGTAAATGTACTCACATCAAGCTAGTCTCTGGGCCATTTATTCATGCCTGGTCTTTGACCTGGACGTTTAGTGGGGTCTTTGATGTCTTTTTACACTGAAATTAAGAGAAAACCCAGCTCTCAATAATGCAAAGGAACTCAAGTGTCAGACGGATGATTGTGATTTCTGAAACCTGTTTAAACCAAGGCCTCAGAGAGGTAAAATTTAATAAGAAACAATAATCATTTCTTCATGTTTAGCAAATCCCCACAAAATACTGTCTTCTTTTTAGATCCTTTGTTTGTTTTAATTTCTAACTTTTCATGAGTAACTCTTTGTTTTTCCTCTTAGTTAAGAAGTTTATAATTGAAAGGGAATATTTCTAAGGTTTCCAACAGGTAGATTTAACTAATTTATATTTTATAATCTCCTGGGTAACATCATTGGGGGCTTAACTGATATTTTGATGACTTCTGGGTACAATTTTTTACTAACGTATTTAATCCTCTAACTCAATCAAAATCTTTGTAGCTCTATGCACTCCTAGAACACCCTTCATCCTCACCTCATTCTAATTTGTTCAACTACTTGAAGTTTTAAGAGGGTACCTGAAGAAATTAAGTATTGTTATATAAAACTAATAAAGTAAAATACAAATTCTGAAATAAAGTATCAAAAATATCTACATTATCATACGATCATATTATGAAATTGATTTTCATCTGGAGTATAGTCTGCACTTGTATAAAGCAATTACCTTCCAGATTTTCATTAATTATATAGCTTATTCATTACTTATAAATAAATGTTTCCAAGTAGAACAGGAATAGCAAACAAACATACTTTAAAGCAAATTATATAGAGGTACAAAAATCAGATATTATGGAAAACAGAAAAAAAATCTTCAACCAACGTTTTGATTTACACACAACTTTTCAAGAACTTATCTCTTCTGGGCCAACTGGAAATAAAACTTGAAGTGTTACCAAGCAAAGAAATTCAATTCAACAAAACGCTTCTGTGTTTGTTCAAGAA